AAGAAAACGAGTCATGCTTATTATAATAGAAAGCTACTTCAAGAGTTCACATAAATTACGCTATCTCAACATTGCTCTGCTAAAGAGAAGTGTCCCCTGGTCACGAAACATATTGATAAATTCACATGCCAGCGTTCACTTGGTCCATAAATTCACAGCTCGAAAGCACGAAGAATGCATATACATGTGAAAAATTATCATTAATTTAACGTTTTTATTTAAATTAATAACTTTTAAACCATTAAAGCTTATTTACGTTCGTTAAATCGTATTGATGGGGTTTCAATTTTTACATATCTTCAAAAAAAAGTGTATGAAAATGTATTAGGTTCGAAGAATAATGAAGACAAACATACATGGATTGCGTAAACGTCCAGAATATAGCTTGAAGCATAAATAAAGGTTCCTTAAATTATGACTATTTTATCTTCGATTACTTATACATCACATATTGTGTTTATGTCGAGTCATCGTGAAACATTTTGGTATCCCCCAACGACCGGATCACTGACCGTTGGACCGACCTTTACCATCTCTACCTCTTTTTGGTCCTTAGTCGTCTCCAGCATGGCGCCAGTACCGGCTTATTTACCAAAAAGGGAATTGAAAAAGAGATAAATGCACGTCAGTGCTACTACTTTAGAGACTCGAAAGGCTTTTGTGTTCTTTGCAAGGAAAGTGTGACATTATCTATGAGAATGCCATTAACCTAATGTTATTATCAAAAGAATGACTTTCAACACAATAAAGAATCCTCAAAGTAGTAATTCCACTTCCTAAATTATATCATAATTATACCAATACAAAGCTCATCTCATCTACTATACATTGTAATAAATTACTTTAAATGACCTATGGATGACCATAATTGACTTGTATTAGAAACAAATTATTCACAAAGGTCTGTTTCTAATGTCGGTTAAAATGAGGGCAACTTGGAAACTGATACCTGTCATCAGCTGGGGTCCAAAGAAAAGCACCAGAAAATGCAAATTTAGCATTCAAAGCTCAGGGTAAGTGAAACCAATACCTGCGCTGGGTAATAAGTATACTGTCAAAATGAATGCTGGTGCCATGCCTTCAAATTAAATATCACTTATTGGTGCATTTACCTTAACTGCTGGAACCCAAGATTTGGGGATTTGCATACGCCCCAAATTAAGACTTGGATGCCATGGTGTTGTAAACATTTCTTTGTTCATTAAAGTCATCTCATTGACCGGAAATACCTGGGTACTAAAAGTCATTATACCTAACAGACTGCCCCTAATTGCAGGGGGTACAACCTGCCAGCAGGTATGGTCAACTACTAGCACCAACCATTGATCCTCCAACTTTTGGGACATAGGAGTCTTTCAATGGTAACCATTTTATTTCTTCAAACTGAAGGAAATAATCATTTTCTTTACAATTAAACAATAAAAGAAATGACATTGAAATGTTTAAAAAATACATCAGATTGCACCATCTCTTTCATAAGACATAAATTAAACGACAGTGACTCATTACTCTAGAGAAGGTACCAATGTAAGAGTCTTGTAAATTTGCTCAATGCAAAATGATCTCAAGGTTGACAAAAAGAAGAAACTAATGAAAATTACCAACAAGTGCAACGTACCTACCACTAACCTTCATAGTTTTTTAGATTAGAATGATAAGACACTATACATTCATCGCTCGTCTACATGTGTTGATTCAGTATTTTTATTTTTGTTTTGTTTAAAATTGTGCATGTTTTCTCTGACGTATAAGCAATGTGAAAAGCTTTAGTACGCCGCCAAGTAGTTAGTATAAGTATCTCCTGCGTAATAACCAGGTAGATGTGAAGTACCTCACGGTCAAAACAAGAGTGTTATCGGTGATCCAGCTATGAGATAAAACTACGATCTTAAAATGAAAACACGTTCATTTATTTAGGAATCTTAATGAATGGGTATCATCAATATTATTTATTTCTCACTTCATTAATTTTCATAAATGAAATTTTAGTACATTCTTGTACAAAGAAAAAGATAATTGTGGAAATAAAATAACAAATTATAAATTACAAAGACTAAGAAATAAAAATAATCATAATTGTGGAATAATAATTAATTATACTCAGAGTTGGTTAACAGCTTAAATGATTGTGTACTTGATGAGCTTGAAAAGCTGATGAACTATTTTTTTATTCAGTAAAAAAATGAAAGAAATATATTCCAAATCAAAACTTCTTAGCATTTCGCTTGTTAAGAATTCATTGTGTAAAATTAGAAATGAATATACAACAAAACTGCATAAAAAGTAATAGTTTTACTATAAAATTTATCATAACAAGCAATAGCTATTATATAGAGAACTAAACGAAAACTACCACATTATCGATCGACTACTGGCATTACAAACGTTGATGTCTATAGATATACTGCTTTCATATATACTCAGACTTTGTGGTTGTTTTATAGTAGTTACGTCATGATTTTTCTTCTTTTTTCAACTAACAGATATAATAACATAAATTAGTTCTTTCTTCCTGATTTTCTGGTACACATCCTACTGAAACATTAAGATTGCCTATAAATGGTCAATGTGGGCGCCAAACGACACAGCCAAAGCAGGTCATTGACTCCTATGTTATAGATGAAATATGTGTGCATGTTCAGATTAACATTGTAATTCATGTCTATCACGATTTAAATGTAGGTGTAAATGATAAGATATCATGTTATCATTACTTTTTTAACATCATCTCCAGCCTTTTGTGCTTCAAACAACATTTTTATTCAAATTATGAAGAATAAACATCAATATATTTAGTATGATAATAAAAATGAAGAATAGTCATAATAAATAACATCAATTAAGAATAAATTAATAAGCCTTCACCGATATTATAAACAATTTTTTTCATGAAACTTTATATTCTGATGAAAGATGTTGATTAGATTAAAATAAAATATATAAATTTTATGTAATTGATAGATATTGCAAACATTTTTGATCAGAATTGAATACTAAACGTGGATAAAACGATGTATTTATTAAAATGTGCATAATAATGTCAACAGAATGTTGCATACTGATTAGTCTAGAGCATCAACGATGGAGAAAATGTCGACGACTTACAATGGCAGCTGCTGTTCACAAACTCGTCTGCATGGTGAGATATTCCATTCACACAAGAGTTACTTGTTATAGCTCATACGTGGGCTGGTAAGCATCTCACCAAGTGGGTTCATCAGGGCCAAGGAGTCTTGAAGAATGCGTGTTTGATCTGAAGAAGTGCGAAAGAAGTCTATTGGACTCTAACTAAGCTCTCAGACAATTCTAGAGACGACAAAAACACATTTCATCCCCTTTTATATCTTCACCCAATAATTTTTTCCCCTTTTGTCTTCGCTTCGATTTTCTCCTCATTCCTTCACGAACTAACTCGAAGAATGAAGCTTTTGTTTGGCTTTTTTCTCCACTCATTTCTTTACTCTAGTTCTATATAGTATTTACAAAGTTTTATTGCTTGTGGACTTTAGCAAAAATCCTTTTTATAAATTTGTTTTTTCTCTTTAATATAATCCCAATATTTTTTATCTCTGCCACTTACACAATGTCAGAAGCTTAAGCTTTATGCAACTACCAAGAGCACCGAGTAGTGAAGCAAAGCCCTTGCAAAGAGATTCACAACTTACTAACTGACGTTCTCTTGCTCTCCTGCTGATTAATGTCTAGATTCACTTCAAGAGATAGTTCTTGTTTGGATGAAGCAATTCCAGCCGGTTTTTCTGACGATATCTCTCACTAGTATTATCTCTCCAGGGGTACGTACGTGGGTAAAACATTTAACACTGCCTTCAAGGCGAGACGCTAAGTTCACATAAGTAGGTTGTTATACCTTAATAAATTTACTTTTTTACAGTGAATTGTCGGTCATAATTTTTCTTTCTCACTTTATTAACAAACGGGCTACTTTAATTATGGTTGAAACATCTTTCCACGTAATTATGTAAGTCAGAACAACTTGTAAACATAGTCAAGAGCATTCTGACAAGCTCATTTTCATTTTTCATTCATATTTTAATTTAATGAATTTTTCATTAAGTTAGAATTATAATAGTGTTACATCCCAATTATAAGCTACGTTATATTACAATTGTTTAGAGCAAAAATTCCATTTGTTTAATTTTTAATTTAAAATTTGTTTATTCGTATTATTAAATATGAAATAATTTTATAATTATTAATTTTTAGTAAAGCTAAAGTATAATATTAAATAATTTTGAGGATAAAAAAAGAACAACACTTTTTCATTGTATTTTTACTTCTTAAAGCATTTGTTAAAAAGATAACTATATTTAAAATATTCTTACACCAAATAAATCTAAAAATACCTTCAAAAACATTTGGAAAACCCCATTTTTAACATTTATTTTTCTAGTTTGACAGAATAATCACTTAAAGTAGAGTGAATTACACATTTCCAACACAATCAACCAATCATATGACCTAAAAAACTTTGTAGCAGCTGAAATAAATATCTGGTATATTAACCATATATCTCTTGGATAAAAATTGTTTTTAAATTAAGTATTAAAAAAAAAATAATCATCACAAAATTATAAACGAGTACTATCTCCATAGAATTTATTAATTCGAAAGAAAGTGAAAGCATGGAAGCTGGAAGAAACAGCTGAAAGGATCAATGGTATCATGTTTCATCAAGAAAACAACAAAAGCGAGGATATAAACATGCAGCGTGGGTCATCTATCTCAAATATACGCCAGAAAAATCATTGACGTCATTAGTATCATATATTACATGCAAACACAAAGCAAACAATGGCAAAGTTGGATATTCAGAAAAGGCTAGCTGGTTTAACTCTGATAGAAAGATAAAGAACTGAGTAAACGCGACAAAAGCACCTATTCCGCCCACGTTTTCTCTCCGTGACTGAAAGGAAACGTGTCATGTCTAAAGGCTGTATGATGCGAGTAAATCGCACTGAGAAAGTTCACTAAATACATACCTGAACATTGATGTTGCTGGAAGCTTTACTTGTTGAGAGTTCGCCGGTTGTCATATACGGTTTACATACAGAGACTCACGTGGTGCATTGAGATAACAAGATGGCCGCATTGCTAGGGCGTGGCTGCGTCGAATCTTTGAATCCTTTTTTCATCAATCTACAATTACTTCAGTTAGTTAAGTTATTATTATCACTTATTATCACTCGCGATAAATCACTTACAACAATATTTAAACGTCTTATTTTTTATAAATAACACAATATACTCGGATTGCGATGTGAGGTCTGCCTCCACGCAGCAGCCATCTTCCTGCTCCCTTCCACTGCGTATGGACCTGAACATCGTCAGCTTTTGCCGCGCCTCGCCGCGTTTCCCTCCATTTTCATAATCTCGAACCCCTGAAAATGATTTCTATGAAACTCTCAGTCTAGCCTTAATTTTTTAATTCATTATTATAAAATTGAATTGATTAATTAAATAATCATTAAAATTTTAATGAAAATAAAAAATCAATTACTAATAAACTTTATTATGTAGGTAATCACAAAAAAAATAATATTGATTTTTTAGCTTTTTTTACATCATTATTCAAACACAATTTTTTCTAGCAATTTTCAACGATAATTTTTCAATAATATAATCATTTACGAATGTTTTGATTTTTTTTAATTCTTACATCAATTACATGGCTAAAAAGATAAATTTATTGAATAATTTAACAACAATAAATGATGTTTGAAGATTTTAATTGATTGATTTTATTACTAATACAACTTCACTGTTTATAAATTTCGAAACATTTATTTATGTATACACATTTGAAAATATTCTATTAAACTTTTTTCAATATTTTCTTCTAAAATTATGAAATGAAGCCTTATTTATCTTATTATCTCGCGTATAAAAATTAATCGACGATGTGGCATCGTTAACAAATGAATCTCTCTCTATGTTACCCCCACTCCTTTTATCGAGAGGGTTTTATTCTAGGGTATTTTGCATTTTGATTTAAAAAGATTATTCAAATTAAAATTAATAACTAAATAAATAAAAAAATGTTTATTATCTGTTATAAAAAAAATTAGCCTCTTTATTTCCTTGAGCTGGATGAAAAAAAAAACTATTTTTATTTACTCTCTCTCTCTCTCTCTTATTTGTTTCTAGGTCATCATAATTTGTCCTATATCCGATAGGGCGCTCCATGTGTGTTTGGCGGAATAGTGATGTGCACGCAGTTTCCAAAGCACTCAGTCGTTCAATGCGCATTTTAGAGGAGAAAGAATAATCGCGAATTTGTGGAGTGTTGATCGCGTGAAGCACGTTAAAAATATCCCTGGATAAGTGAACGAGCAGCGTTGAGTAATTTGCGGGATTTGAAGCACGCGAGGGCAAGCAAGTCGGCATCGGGTCGGCTCGCGTCCGATAAAAACGACGGACAAGAGATGCATGGAAGCACAGAGTCGGCGTCAGCTTTGGAGGGGAATCACGACGGCCATCTTGCTACGAGTTTTATTTCTCTCTCTCGCGCACGTACATTTAATCAACCGCATCCGATAATTCTATCTTACTTTACCGGGTCTGCGCGGCACGACTTCTCTGTGCTTTACTTTTTGTTTTCATCTTGCGTTTATTTCTCTTAACTTTTTTTCGTACTTCGCCTTTTGCCTTTGACACGCGCCGCCATTCGATTCCAAAATGATTTTAAACTTTTTTAAACCCACTTTGATTACAAAAATTACACAATTACTTTCAATTGAATGGATGATGGAGAATTTTATGGAAAAAAAAACGGTTGAGCGGTTAAATATGGGTAAATACGAGTTATTTATTTTCAGTAAAATACTATTGTCAATTGAAAGCAAAAGTAAATTTTTTAACAGCATTCAGTTACTCATGTACATGATTAAAAATAACTTTTAATGATGTAGGTAATATTTCAGAGCAACAAATTTATCGTGTGACTCCAACTGTAGATTTTTTTTCATTTTAACATAAAATATGAATTTAAAAGTAAAAATAAGAACCATAATGCCATCGTGTGATACATAAACCCACAAAGATTCTACTGTTTCGGTTAATCTGCATTTTATAAATGAAAAAAAGAGATAATATTAATGTCTGAGTGCAGCAATTGAATTTAATTACAGATCCAAGTAGTGGATATTGATAATTTGTATAACTCTGATAATGTATGAATTTTTTATTTCATGAAATATTGATTAGCACTTCTGGAATCATCTGATGCCTTCACAACATTTAAGCACACATATTTCAATATTTGAGCAGGTAAATATTGCTATTTTATTTTTTAATTTACTATTTAATTGACAAATAAATAAATCTGAATATTAAAGCCTTAACAGTCAAATCAAGATTACATTATGCTTTAAAGCAATTGCTTCTGATGAATAAAATCATCAAATCACGAGTAGAATGCAACTTAAATAATATTTATGCTTTCAAATTGACAATAAAATTGTAAAATAATCATTATTTTTTTCAGGGCTTAGATGTATATTTTAATAATCTTTATTCAGTTAGTTGATTGGTAATGTAGGAAACACGAAGTTTTGTCATTCTTGTTTTATAATTAAACATTCTCTTAACCCAATGAAAATTGAGAATGCAATGAATATCAATATTTAAATAAATTAATATTAATATCTCTCAAATGAATTTAATCATGCTTAAAATATCTTTTAAAATGAACTACGGATATGCTACAATCATTTGTACAATTAGCTATTATCTGATAAAGACTAAGAGTAAAGAGTAAACTATTAAATTCAATGAATGAAAATTTAAATAATAGGCAGTTAATGTATGTTAAAATTTACCAATGTTGTTATAAAAACATACTTTTTGTTCAGTTTGATAATAACTCAGTTCATACCTGGTTAACATGGAACAAAAAATAGTTGATTTACTGACAACTTGACTGAGTAGGCTTTTAACGTTTTTGCTGAGTTGAGAATTGCAGTAAAGTGGTAAAGGTAAAAAAGGTGGCGATAACATCCTGGTATTCCCATGCGACGGCACATAATTACGTTACAGTCGTCGTTCTGACATATAATAAGTAGAACGGAAATAATTTTAGGTTTATTATCATCAACTATTTTTTATATTAAAGAGTTAACTTTGCGACCTTTGAGAGCGTAGGTCATATCACTGTAATTACGTCCTTGTCATTTTTCAAGTTTTTTTAGTACATTATTACATGTAAACAGTGTACTACAACTTAACTTGCGTTCCTAGACATGCTGGTAGTGATAATTAAGTGCTCACTGCAACATAAATTTCAATAACAATAGTGGTTTAGTGTTCAATCAATTCACAAGTATGCTAAATGGGTAATATGCTTTAGGATAAGTAAATGATAAAGTTAAATATTAAATTTCACTTAGTTAAAAATAAGTGTTGCTGAAATTAATTTCACAGCCACGAACAACGAGATAATAGGATATCACCCTCTATTTAAGGCTTGTAATCGTCGTTGTAAAAGTGACAAGTAATGAAATCCACGACCTTTTCGACCTCTCCACGATGAACCTTTAAGAACTGTCTCACTTTCAATAATCATCTTTTCATTTATCGTCTATCCAGCTATGATTTATGAAATTTTATTAATTACTGACAATGGGAAACATTTGTTTACACACATATTTTTTAATAAATTAGAAAAAAGACAATGGTAAAGATATATAGGTGTGGCTATTAAGTATGCTAATGAAAAGGGTCTACATACCCATCAGTTGGAGTGTGTACAATTAAACAAGACACTTACGAGAACTTACATGATAAATGTATGTATTCGAACGATATATCAGAGCAGCAACACAGTAATAAAATTTATTTATTCCATAGTATGAGAATGATGAAGAACAAGAGAGATATGTACTGCAGTAAATTGGATTCGATGATGTATCGGTTATGAGCCACAACTAATTTTGTACGTACTTCACGTAATTGATAGGAAATTCAATAAATTATATCCCTATACGTGTGTATGAAGATGGCAATGCCGATAAAATTCATTACTTATTGATAAATATTATATAAATGCAATTATTCTCACTATAAACCGTATAAATTTATTTTGATAAAAATATTTACCCTTTAATCAGTTGTTTGTTTTATATTTTTTATTGCAATTTCTTCTGATAAAAATTCTAATCAGATGTTCTCCAGTTGTACTAAAAGATTTTTAATCAAAACATTAAAATTTATGGATTCTAATTTATTAAATAAATTGAATTACTTTTTTTGGTTAAATAATTTATCTAAAATATATTTTACTTTTTGAAAAGTTTCTTAAAATTTTTCAAATTAATTGAATTGATCTATTGGCATTAAAATTGTCTAATAGTTACTACTATCGAGAATAAAAATTTAATAAGTTATAGTATCATTTCCTTACAAAGTTCACTGCAGAAATATGATTTGAAATTTTTTTCATCATGATTATCAATAAAAATTATCATTAAAAATATTGTACACCTCCAACTGGCCATGTAGCACACGATAAAGCCAATGTAAATTTTCAAATATATTGCTTTCTCAATTTTTTGTCTTTCCATTTTAATTCTGGACCTTCTTCTCAGACTTACTGCATATTGATCGCATCGATCTCGTCCCACCTGAGTTATCACAATGACGTTACTGCGTCTCGTGCTTACTTTCTATACTCACCATGACTGAAATTGAGAGAACCGTCGCGTGTCGAAGAATCAAGTTAGCGTGTTATCGTGGCACTCGTCGCTCCTAAACCATTCGAGGAGAACCCACGCATACAAGATAAACCCGTCCATGATATATCAAGTTCACTTACGCACACACAAGTTTCGCTCTCTAAATGCATTTTAAGCCTATAAAACACATAAAATGTCTACTAACGATTTACCCCTTGCGCATCAAATGCGTTGTAAACGAGCTCTAAGTTGTTCATTTTTTTACTCTTGCTCTTTTTCTTTTCTTTTTTTTCATTCTTATCTTTTCCTCTGATTCACTTTTGAGTTGTTATCCTTTTTCCCGTCCTCTTACTTGGCTCCTTTAGCCTCGCGCGTGACGACAATCCAATAAACAGCAACCTTTGTTTGATAGCCGACTACATCGACATGCCAACCCCCTAATGCGTCATTACTGTCGAGCTCTACGGCCGCCTCGTATCATTTCACTTAGGTATATTGATATGGCAACGAGTTCCCGACCTTGTCCAACGCCAAACAACATTTACTTCCTTTTCAAATGTGTCCGTCTGAGAATCGTTTCACCGTCGGCACAACACTTCAACTCACACACCTTTGAAACAGTTTCTATCGAAAGCACTT